AAAAAAAAAAAGAAGGCGCCGTGTACGCCTATTCCATCGTTGGGCAGTAGCGGCGGCCGAGAGATGGCGCGAACATTCAACGCGCGAAATTCAGACGGTACATAGAATCTAACAGATGGATAGATAGAGAGTAAAATAAAGTACATATATAAAATGATGTGGACGAAAATTTTTTATTCACATCTTATTACATCGTGTTTTTTCTCATATTTTATTAAATTTTTTTTTCGCGTTCGAATACAATCGATGGCTCGAACATCGCTAGCTATGGCTTATATTTTGATGGCATTGATGACGTTGATGATGATGATGATGAACATGTTGACGATTTTGATGATGTCGATGAGGAACATGTTGACGATTTTGATGCTTTTTCACTTGGACATTCCCAATATCTCGCTTTTTCAACTGGACATTCCCAATATCTCGCTTTTTCCCTCGATGGTGGTGGACTTGGCGGACCTGGTGACAAGGGACGGTATCCCTTGCGCTCGATCGATTTTCGATGTATATATTCTTTTACATGATCCATGTCTTATCACTCGTAATCGAAACTTACGATTGAAAGAAAAAAGTTATATACACTGTTTATATACACTATCAAGTCGATGCCGCATCGCGACGCGTTAAGAGAAGCGCCGACGTTCGGCTGCTAAGCAAAACATAACTCTTCTACAGTAAAATGAAAGTGATACTCCAGTGAAAAGTATGAAAACACACTGCGTTCCCACAACCTTTAAATTTCTTCGAAGAAGTGTCGATAACGATTTTTTTCTGAGAATAGATAGCGAGAGAGATCGATGACATGTAGCGTTAAAAGAAGCGTTGATGCTGTTTATATAAACTAGAATCGCTCGCAATGCTGCCTTATCTATTTCTGAATAAAGTATGACCCAATAGTCAAAGGGACAAAGAAGTCACAAATAAAATATAATAATGAGTTATAAGCGCTCAGTTCCGCAGTTGGTGCCCTGGAAGACGTACGAACGAATTGATCGCAATAAGAATAGTGGAAAAAAAGTATGGTTGATCATCGTGCGAACGTTGAGGACATAGCCAACGTAGTCGAGCACATTAGAAAGTGGATCCTTGAAAAAACTATTGTGAACAGTACTGTGAGCGAGACACTACTGAAAAATATGTGGGAAGACTGTAACGTAGATGATGTGTTGTATGTTCTCGGTAATCTGCAAAAAAGAGACATAGGTGCACGAATATCGGCAGTGCAATTCCTACGCAATCATGAATTAGGTATACGTGGTGAGAAACATGGAACAGTCAGAGAGCCCGTTTCTGACTGGTCTTTACTCGTGCGACAGAAAGTGTATCTACGGTTACGAGACAAATGTTACGAGAACGATGAATATGAAGAGAGGCATTGGTGGAATAGAAATGTCAATGTAATAAAGGACGATTATTATTGGGCGAAGAAAATCGCAGATAAGAGCAGAGGTTGGTGCATCTGCATTAAGATTCCTGCAGGTAGTGAAAAGTGTGTCGAACTGCTGATTATTGATAATATATGGATGGAGTTTCGTGATCGCGATCTTGCACCAAAACTATTTTTCGACAGATGCGACGATCAATGCTTTGAGTGTGGACAATGCATTTTCGCAAACACACGTAATGAAAAAGTGTTAGAACATTATGATATTCTAGATATGTCGCGGTGCTGCAACGTGTACGAACGAGTCACGAGCTCCATGGAAGAGTGTGACGTAATCTAAAGAAAAAAAAAGCATGGAAAATCACGAGAGAGTGGAACGCGAACTGTTGGAGCAGTGCAGCCAGGTCGCTACTCTGGTGGAATGTTTCGCGTGGCTGCAACGATGTGATGAGTGCATCGAGCGGCTCGAAGAACTTTGTCAAACGTCCGCGCATCGCCGTTAGACACAAACAATCCATAGTGGCGAGGATCGCGCGACTCGCGGGTGCAAAGACACGATTAGAGCGACGTTTCGTGCACGTTGGTGGCGGGTACGCGAGTCGCGATGAAAGATCTCTCGTCTGGCGAAAGATCGACACCGCGTTTGAAAGCCGTATATCGATGGGTGCTGTGATCAACGTGGATTACATCGAGCCGCGGCGGTTTTTGGAAAACGCGAGAGAAATAGTGCTCGAACGTGTGCGAGACGCCGTAGAAAGACACGGTAGTGCAAAAGTGAACACCGCGTTCAACGGCGAGTTTGCGACGAAGGATAAACGTGCTAATAAGAGCATAATTTCAAAGAACAGCGAGATATACCGATACACTGATTTGCGCGAGTGGTACGAGCAGCATATCATCGAGCCCACGTTGACATCACTCGAAGAGTTCCAGGAACGTGACAGCGGGTGGGCATTGTCGCGAATCCTCAATTTGGTAATGAATGTGAACAAACTAAATCCTATGCGCGCGGGATGTTACTTCGAAGTGCCGCGGGAAATAGCGACGAAACGAGCGGTGATCAATGTTAGTACGATGGACAATGCGTGCTTCGCGTGATCGGTGGTCGCCGCTCTGTATCCGGCTGGAGTCATCGTATCCACATTATACGACGGTGCTGAATCTCGCGGGTATCGAATTTCCGATAACGTTCAAAGACATTCCAAAATTCAAACGGCTGAACGCGGTATCGATCGGTATCGAATGTACACGGCATCGAGAATAAACAAGTCCTTCTTCTGCGGCTCACCAGTGACAAGAAAGACAAGCATGTCAATCTCCTGTACATGCAAGATTCACGCGACGACGGTGTCGGCCACTTTGCGTGGATCAAGAACCTGTCGCGTCTCGTGAGATCACAAACGGAAAAAGAACAAGAAATATTTCTGCAACGGTAAGTACACATGGCAAAATTATTATAATTTCCCATCTTATTAATAAAATATAGGTAACTGTTATAATTTTTTGTTTTTTTTTTTATGCTTGCATTACTTCAGCACGAATGAGAAATTGCAGTCGCACACAATGGACTGCTAGAAGATCAACGATTGCGCTATTCGACTGCCGAGCGAAAACGAAAAGTGGCTCGAATTTGGGAACCTCTGCAACAAGGAGCGCGTCCCATTCGTCGTCTACGCCGACCTGGAGTGCATTTTACGGAAGACGGAACCTGACAGGGAAGATGCGTCGTCGTACGCGTATCAACGACATGAGGTATTCAGCATAGGCTATTAGGTGCGTTGCTCGTACGATGACGCGTTATGGTCGTATCAGTTCCGTCGCGATATAGCGTGGTTCGCGCGACAACTCAATGATTTGGCGCATCGCGTTAAAAATATCGTATCCGCCAACGTGCCCATGGAAACGTTGTCGAAAGAACAATGGGAGGCATAGCGCGACGCGTTGTCACATTTGCGAGAAATCATTCGAGTCGGATGATACGCGGGTACGCGATCATTGCTACTAAACCGGTAGATACCGCTGTCCAGCGCATTCAAATTGTAATTTACATTATAAAAATTCATTATATTAGGTGTAGTAAAAAGAAATCTATTATTTTTCCAATAGATGGCTTTAATAATCTGTATCTCGCGTTGTATAAGTGCGATCGGGTTACGCCAAATGGCGTTAGAAAGATAAGATTTCGTACTAAAAAAACTTCTAAGACAGTTTTGTGATTGCTTGAGTCAGTATTGTTTGAGAGCGTGTCAAAGATGGACACCAACAAAGAGAAAATACGCCATATTTTACAGTTTTTCTTCGATAAAGGCGAAAACGCAAGCCAGGCGACTGAAAATGTGAATAGTGTTTATGGTCCAGATACTGTAACAGTCAATATCGCGCAATTTTGGTTTCGTCGATTCCGTTCCGGTAATTTTGATGTCAAAGATGCACCACGCTCTGGAAGGCCAATTGTCGAAAATGTCGATAAAATAATGGAAATCGTCGAGTC